AAGGGGGGTGCCTCAACCCCCCTCATACTCAAGGGGGGCCCCAAACCTCAGTACGTCAAGGGGGGGCCTCAACACCTCATCGTCAAGGTGGGTGCCCCAACACACTCAGTACTCAAGGTGGGTGCCTCAAACCCTCAACGTCCCAAGGGTTGGGTGCCCAACACACCAGTACGTCAGGTGGTCCTCAACACACCAAAGTCAAAGGGGGGGGCCTCAGCACACCAGTAGTCAAGGTGGGGGCCTCAAAACCCCTCAGTACGTCAAGGGGGTGCCTCAACACCTCATTTTCGTCAAGGGGGGTGCCTCAACACACCATAGCAAGGTGGGTGCCTCAACACACCCTACTCAATGGGCCTCAACACATCAGTACTCAAGGGGGGTGCCCCAAAAACACTCAGTAGTCAAGGTGGGTGCCCCAACACATCGTACGTCAAGGTGGGGGGCCTCAACACCTCAGTACGTCAAGGTGGGTCCCAAAACCCCTCGACGTCAATGGGGGCCCCCAACCATCAGTAGTCAAGGTGGGTGCCCCCAACACACTATACGTCAAGGTGGGGCCTCAATACACTCAGTACGTCAAGGGGGGTGCGCAACACACTCAGACGTCAAGGGGGTGCCTCAAAATCAGTACGTAAAGGGGGGTGCCTCAACACACTCAGTACGTCAAGGGGGGGGCCTCAAAACACCCCGTACGTAAGGGGGGTGCCTCAACACACCGTACGTCCCAAAGGGGGGTGCCTCAACACACCATACGTCAAGGGGGTGCCTCAGACATCAGTATCAAAGGGGGGGTGCCCCAACACACCAGTACCAAAAGGGGGGTGCCCCAGCACACCAGTACGTCAAGGTGGTGCCCACACACTCGTACGCAAGGGGGGTGCCCCACACACCGTACGTCAGGGGGTGCCTCAACACACTCATAGCAAGGTGGGGGCCCCAACACCTCAAACTCAAGGTGGGGCCCAACACCCAGTACGCAAGGTTTGGTGCCTCAACACACTCAGTACGTCAAGGTGGTGCCCAAAAACCCCCAGTACGCAAGGTGGGTGCCTCAACACCTCAGTACGGCAAAGGGGGGTGCCTCAACACACCCCCAGTTTCTCAAGGTGGGTGCCTCAACACACTCAGTACGGCAAGGTGGTTTCCCAACACATCAGTACGGCAAGGTTGGTGCCCAAAAACCTCATACTCAAGGGGGGTGCCCAAAACACTCGTACGGCAAGGTGGGTGCCCAAAACACTAGTTTTCCGTGGGGTAAAAATCATTAAAATTCCCCTAGAACTTAATTTAAAAATTATTAGTTAGGGGGTTTTTTAAACCCAAAATATTTTTGCTTTTAACAATTTTTTTAGTTTAAAAAATGAAATTGCACACTTTATTTTATGGGTGGGTTTTTTAAAAAAAAAAGAAGTAATTTTTGTTGTGTACCACCCATTTGTGGTTCAGGTCGGGCCAAATTGGCCCCCCGTCTTTGTGGGTGTTGTGGGGTGGGGTTGTGTGGGTGGGTGTTGTATTGGTTGGTGTTTTGTGTGGTGGGTGTTGTGGGTGGGTGTTTTTGTGGGGGTTGGTTTTAATTGTGTGGTTTTTGGGTGTTATGTGGGGTGTTGTATGTGGTGTCCAAACCCCATTTTACTCCCTTTGGGTTGCAAATTTTTTGCTTGGCCCCCTTTTTAAGGTTTGTATGGGTTTTTTCCCCCTTTTCCCCCTACTTTACAAATCGTTTAAAACGGGAAAGGCCTGGTTAGTCAATTTTGGCTTTATTTAAAATAAAGAAATAATTTATATTTCTCTATTTGTGCTTCTTTAACTTCCAATTTGGGGTCTTTTTTTGGGGGTTTTGGAAAAAAATTTTTTGTCCCCCTTTTTTTTGGTTTTTATATGTGTTTTGTTTTTGATTGTTGTGTGTGGGTTTCCCTAAATTTTTTTCATGGGTCATTTTTAGCTCCCCGGGCCCTTTTCAAATTTGTACTTTCTCTGTTTTTTTTAGGGTTTATCAAACGGGTTTAAACGTGGCTTACCCATAGGGCCTGCTACACTTAAGGCTTTGGAATATTCCTTACTAATTTGAATCATTTTGTTTCCAACCCCATTGTGGCTTTTTGTTTGTGTCTCCGGAACATGCTCTTTTTATTCACCCCAAAATCTTTCTCCTTGAGTGAGGTTTGCAGTCTTTGGCCACCTAGCCTATACTCTGTCTGTGGTCTTCTGTGCCCTTCCCCTATCTTCATGACTTTGCATTGGCAGGATTAAATTCGAGAAGCCATTTGCTGGACCAGGTGTCCAGTCTGTCCAGGTCTCTTTGAAGTCCTGCCTGGTCCTCATCAGATTTAATTCTCCTCATTAACTTCACATCATCTGCAAACAGGGACACTTCTGAGTCTAACCCTTCCGTCATGTCGTTCACATATACCAAAAATAGCACTGGTCCTAGGACCGCCCCTGTGGGACCCCGCTCGTCACAGGTGCCCACTGTGATACATCATTACGTACCATGACTCGTTGTTGCCTCCCTGTCAGGTATTCTCTGATCCATTGCAGTGCCCTTCCTGTTATATGCGCCTGATGCTCTAGCTTCTGCACTAATCTCTTGTGAGGAACTGTGTCAAAGGCCTTCTTGCAGTCCAAGAAGATGCAATCAACCCACCCCTCTCTCTCTTGTCTTACTTCTGTGTGTGTGTGTGTGTGTGTGTGTGTGTGTGTGTGTGTGTGTGTGTGTGTGTGTGTGTGTGTGTGTGTGTGTGTGTGTGTGTGTGTGTGAGTGTGAGTGATGTGTGAGTGTGTGTGTTGTGTGTGTGTGTGTGTGTGTGTGTGTGTGTGTGTGTGTGTGTGTGTGTGTGTGTGTGTGTGTGTGTGTGTGTGTGTGTGTGTGTGTGTACTCACCTAGTTGTACTCACCTAGTTGAGGTTGCAGGGGTCGAGTCCAAGCTCCTGGCCCCGCCTCTTCACTGGTCGCTACTAGGTCACTCTCCCTGAACCATGAGCTTTATCGTACCTCTGCTTAAAGCTATGTATGGATCCTGCCTCCACTACATCGCTTCCCAAACTATTCCACTTCCTGACTACTCTGTGGCTGAAGAAATACTTCCTAGCATCCCTTTGATTCATCTGTGTCTTCAGCTTCCAACTGTGTCCCCGTGTTGCTGTGTCCAGTCTCTGGAACATCCTGTCTTTGTCCACCTTGTCAATTCCTCTCAGTATTTTGTAAGTCGTTATCACGTCCCTCCTATCTCTCCTGTCCTCCAGTGTCGTCAGGTTGATTTCCCTTAACCTCTCCTCATAGGACATACCTCTTAACTCTGGGACTAGTCTTGTTGCAAACCTTTGCACTTTCTCTAGTTTCTTTACGTGCTTGGCTAGGTGTGGGTTCCAAACTGGTGCCGCATACTCCAATATGGGCCTAACGTACACAGTGTACAGGGTCCTGAACGATTCCTTATTAAGATGTCGGAATGCTGTTCTGAGGTTTGCCAGGCGCCCATATGCTACAGCAGTTATTTGGTTGATGTGCGCTTCAGGAGATGTGCCTGGTGTTATACTCACCCCAAGATCTTTTTCCTTGAGTGATGTTTGTAGTCTCTGGCCCCTTAGACTGTACTCCGTCTGCGGTCTTCTTTGCCCTTCCCCAATCTTCATGACTTTGCACTTGGTGGGATTGAACTCCAGGAGCCAATTGCTGGACCAGGTCTGCAGCCTGTCCAGATCCCTTTGTAGTTCTGCCTGGTCTTCGATCGAGTAAATTTTTCTCATCAACTTCACGTCATCTGCAAACAGGGACACCTCAGAGTCTATTCCTTCCGTCATGTCGTTCACAAATACCAGAAACAGCACTGGTCCTAGGACTGACCCCTGTGGGACCCCGCTGATCACAGGTGCCCACTCTGACACCTCGCCACGTACCATGACTCGCTGCTGTCTTCCTGACAAGTATTCCCTGATCCATTGTAGTGCCTTCCCTGTTATCCCTGCTTGGTCCTCCAGTTTTTGCACCAATCTCTTGTGTGGAACTGTGTCAAACGCCTTCTTGCAGTCCAAGAATATGCAATCCACCCACCCTTCTCTCTCTTGTCCTTACTGCTGTCACCATGTCATAGAACTCCAGTAGGTTTGTGACACAGGATTTCCCGTCCCTGAAACCGTGTTGGCTGCTGTTGATGAGATCATTCCTTTCTAGGTGTTCCACCACTCTTCTCCTGATAATCTTCTCCATGATTTTGCATACTATACATGTCAGTGACACTGGTCTGTAGTTCAATGCTTCATGTCTGTCTCCTTTTTTAAAGATTGGGACTACATTTGCTGTCTTCCATGCCTCAGGCAATCTCCCTGTTTCGATAGATGTATTGAATATTGTTGTTAGGGGTACACATAGTGTCTCTGCTCCCTCTCTCAATACCCATGGGGAGATGTTATCTGGCCCCATTGCCTTTGAGGTATCTAGCTCACTCAGAAGCCTCTTCACTTCTTCCTCGGTTGTGTGTACTGTGTCCAGCACCTGGTGATGTGCCACACCTCTCCGTCTTTCTGGAGTCCCTTCTGTCTCCTCTGTGAACACTTCTTTGAATCTCTTGTTGAGTTCCTCACATACTTCACGGTCATTTCTTGTTGACTCTCCTCCTTCCTTCCTTAGCCTGATTACCTGGTCCTTGACTGTTGTTTTCCTCCTGATGTGGCTGTACAACAGTTTCGGGTCAGATTTAGCTTTCGCTGCTATGTCATTTTCATATTGTCAGTGTGCCTGATCCTCTGTGAGTAGACCTCAGTGTGCCTGATCCTCTGTGAGTAGACCTCAGTGTGCCTGATCCTCTGTGAGTAGACCTCAGTGTGCCTGATCCTCTGTGAGTAGACCTCAGTGTGCCTGATACTCATATTTCTATTACTTCAACAAGAATAATTTTTAGTGTACATCACAAGGAGTGATTCTGGACTGCCTGCGCCACTCTGAAGGAGTTCAAAGTTGTGAGTAACTACATTAATATACAAGAATCTCCTTACTACAGATGTATGACGAGTACTGTATTACAGCTGAAGGTGAGTGTAGTGTTGATGTGACGAGTACTGTATTACAGCTGAATGTGAGTGTATTGTTGATGTGACGAGTACTGTATTACAGCTGAATGTGAGTGTATTGTTGATGTGACGAGTACTGTATTACAGATGAAGGTGGGTGTAGTGTCCGTATACTTTTGATATACCTTTGATGAGTTTCGAAAGTCTACTCCTGGAGCCCGGCCATGGGTCAGGCTTGTCTGCTGTTAGCCTGTTTAACCATGCTGTTGCTGCTGGAAGTTGAACGGGGCCGTCAACACTGAGCAATATTCTAAATGAGGGAGCACTAGCAATTTGAGTGTCACCACTGGCATTATTTCGCTTGTTTTGAAAGTTCTCATTACCCACCCAGTCATCCTCCTGGCTGTCGTGACCTTTATCTTACTATGTTCTTGGAGAGAAAGGTCAGCTGACATAATTATTCCCAAGTCTTTCACGTGTTCTTGTCATTCTATTTGACGATCCTCTTGAGTTTTTTATACAGTCTTCCTTTTGAGTTCCTCATTCTTTCCATATATAAGCAGTTGGAACTTATCACCACTGAACATCATGTTCTCCCCTGTCCACTGGAAAACATTACTTATATCTTCCTGAAATGGTGTGACGAGTACTGTATTACAGATGAAGGTGAGTGTAGCATTGGTGGCCGGGATCCTAGTGGTGTTATCCGCCGAGAAAAATGCTGGTGAGAGTCTCATGAAGAGCCCTATGGAGCTACCACTACCAAAGATGGCGGAGGAAGGCCAGGAGGTTCAGAGAAGAGAGGGCAGGATCTTCGCCTTCATTACCACCACCTCCATAAAACGCTTGGCTACTACCACTATCTCAGTCCCCTACACCTGCCTCTCCGTAAAAACCACCACCACGTGTACTGGACGCAAAAAGAAGTCAACGCTCTCCCAGCTACTGTAAGTTACTATCATCCCGCTAATCGTGAGTCTACCTTGACGGTGAGCATCAAAATGGTATACAATACCGACAAGTTTGTAAGATATATCAGCAACAGTTACGCATCTTCATTGTAAAAAGTTTCGCCTACACAGTAGGCTTCTTCAGTCAAGTACAGAAAAGTTGGCAGGAGCAGTAGAGATGTGAAGACGATGTAATCAGTCCATCGCCATTGAAGACGTAGTTTTGAGGTGGTCATCCCTCAGCCTGGAGAAGAGTATTGTTCCATAACTCTTCTCCAGGCAATTTTTTCCATAAAATGTCTCCAAAAACCACCCTGCGTCCTATAAACTGAAGGTCAGTGACGGGAGCTATAAGTCTGGGGTGTAGGGTGAATTGTAGCTCTCCCAGTTACGTCCGATCCCGACCCATTGAAATTAAAACAAGTCATATAAGTAGTGTCTTATAAGCCGGGAAATACGGTACATCGTCTTCACATCTCTACTTCTCCTGACAACTTTTTCTACTCGACTGAAAAAGCCTACTGTGTAGACGAAACATTTCAGAATAAACATGCCTAACTGTTGCCTAACTGTTGAGGGTGTGCCGGGGGGTCAGCGCCCCCGCGGCTCGATCCTTGACCAGGCTTTCTCAATACACCGGTAACCACTACTAGTACACTTTTCACCTGTCTAGATTTAGTAGTCTATTAGTATTAGGTTAAGTCTGCCTGAAATGCCCCAGCATGATAGTGGCTTTCTTTGCTCCAATTACATTATATGTAAACACACACTGTAACCTTTGCAAAGAAATAAATATTTTATTTATTTATTTAGGGAACCTCCCTTGAGGGGTTTGTTCGCATCCTGAAATTTCATTCGTATCCAGAAGCAAAAAATTGACCAAACGACGGTTCGTATCCTGAAAAATTCGCATGGTGGGGCGTTCGTAAGCCGAGGTTCCACTGCATTCTTCTTCCATGGAGAATAAATTCCCTATTGAATAATCTACTGTATATGACATTATGTACAATTTATTTTAAATATTGTGATGTAAATCACACTCCGGTGTTTCGGTTTTAAAACCAGAATAATGGTGCCTTGCCAGAGAACAAGTACAGAACAAGTATGTCAGCAGAGATAAATGACATGCTGTACCGACACGATGGAAAAGTAGACACAAATGCAGTATATTGCGATCCTCATTGACAACTTTTGCAACTTGATAAAATCCACCGTGCGGGCGAAAAGTTGTCAGCAGAGGATCGCATTACACTTCTTCGTTTTTACTTTTTCATGTTAACAGAGAACCAAATAATTATTTATACAGAAACAGAGAACCGAAGAATTATGCAGACATAGACGCACAAGTATGCCAAGACACATTTAAGAAAGGATTTTTGTCTTGACCACATAAATGTGGAGGTGTAAGTCATCCAACCAGTCCACTGAATTTTGGATCACCCAGAAACTCTCTCCACACACACATACACACACACATACACACGTGTGAAGACCCACCTGCTTTTCAGTCCCGCATTCATTCTAGGAAGGCATTCCAGCATTGCATAAGCCCAGCCTCCTCTACTTCAATACACTCTAAAGGAATAGTGGAGGACAGTCATGAAATGACAGTGTGGCGAAATATGTATGTAAAAGCATAGGTATGTGTGCGTAAATATTTATTTATGCATGCACAATTTTTAATATATATGTACAAATGTATGTATGCACACACACACACACACACACACACACACACATATATATATATATATATATATATATATATATTATATATATATATATATATATATATATATATAATCACTTACCAAACTGCGGCAGGCCAGGATTCGACCCCACGACACACTTTCCCCCCTCAAGAGGCCAAACATTGTACATGTCACCCTACCATCTGAGCCATCGATCCTACAATCAACATGAGCCTAGCACACTAAACTTGCTTCATGTTGCGAGGACACTGGTGGCAGATGTATGTTAAAGGATTAATTTCAGCCTCCTGTTTGAATACCCACCTCCACAAGCAGTCTATATAGCAATGAAACCACGAACCACCTTGTCCTCGCAACATGAAACAAGTCTAGTGTGCTAGGCTCATGTTGATTGTAGGATCGATGGCTCAGATGGTAGGGTGACATGTACAATCTTTGGCCTCTTGAGGCGGAACAATGTGTCGTGGGGTCGAATCCTGGCCTGCTGCAGTTTGGTAAATGATTCAATAGACCCCTGGCTGTGTTCAAGAGGGAACTGGACAGATACTTAAAGTCAATACCCGATCAGCCGAGCTGTGATTCGTAAATTGGGCTACGTGCGGCCAGCAGTAACAGCCTGGTTGATCAGGCCTTAATCCACCGGTAGACGTGGTCAAGGACTGGGCCTGGGGGGCGTTGACCCCTGGAACACCCTACAGGTATACTCCAGGTGGTCAGTGGAAAAGTTTGAAATTTAAAAGAGTTAACTAAAGTATATGTTGCTTGATGATTGAGACACATGTGCAACAGTTAGGTATCCTTATTGCTGAAACGTTTCACCTGCACAGTAGGCTTCTTCAGTCAAACAGAGGCAACAGGTGTAGTAGTGAATTAAAGATGATGTAATCAGTCCATCAACCTTGGAGAAAAAGTATTTGAGGTGGTCAGTCCCTCAACCTGGACAAGAGTTAAGATTTCGTTCGGATTTTTAACCCCAGACGGTTAGTCACCCAAGAAAGTCAGTGCATCATCAAGGCTATCTGTCTTATTTCCATTGGGGTCCTCACAATCTTGTCCCCCAGGATGCGGCCCACACCAGTCCACTAACACCCAGGTACCTAGTTGCTGCTAGGTGAACAGGACAACAGGTGTAAAGAAACGCGTCGAAATGTTTCCACTCCGCCGGAAATCGAACCCGGGTTCTCTGTGTGTGAAGCGAGAGCTTTAGCCACCAGGCCACCGGGCCACCGGGCCACCGGGCCACCGGGGCGCCCGTGGAATTGAATTCTTCATAACTTTGAACTTTCTGCATACACAACTAAATATTACCCATTGTATCATACTGAAATAAATTTATAATAATTATTATTGCAAGAATGCTGGAGTATTCTATATAACAGTGACCAGAGTTTAATCTTCACTTCACTAATAATGGGTACACAAACGTTTACCTAGTTACAGTAAACTAGAGTAGATAGTTTCAAGCTTATCTGATAAACCGTAGATAATATATTATTGTTGATGTCTGTGGCTGGCGAGATGGATAATACAGGGACAGGAAGACATTTAAATATTATTTTATAATCTTCCGTGCACGAGTTACAGAAGCGTCTTGTTTCATCACTGGTTCCCTTCCCTTCGCGCTTCTGTGTGACTAGTTAATGGACCAATGGTATACAAGACTGAAACGTCGATATAAGTTTCTTCTGTGTGCGTGTTATTTGTGTATTGTTCCAGTCACGGTATTGTGACTTTTTTTACTTCTTAATCACTGAAGCCTGGAGACTTATTTTGTCATAACTTTTATTGTCCGCACAGAGACCTGATCCAGGATAGCCCGCCCTCTCTGGCAGCGAGCTTGGACTACGAGAAGGAAGAGAACCTCGGTGTAGCCAAGAGGGAGGTGACGGTGGACGGTGATGGTCGAGTGGGGCGGAAACTGACCATCTGGTCCACCTATGCCAGTACTCTTACCGTCACCTCTACCTCCTACATTACTGGCACCACCGTCACCATCAGCGCCCTCTGCACTGCTCCTGGCATCACAGCTGGCTGTTTCGGCAAGTAATGCAGAGTTCAAGGCTTGCCGAATGCATGGCGATACGTTCAAATGTACCCTGGTATGCTCAAATGTATCCTGGTACTTTCAAATGTATCCGGTTACGTTCAAAGCATCCAGGTACATTCAAGTATACCAAGGTTTGTTTGAATGTATTCTGGTGCATTCAGATGCTTCCTCATACTCTCGAATGCATCTCAACTACGTGCTGGTATTTTCGAATAAGCCTCTCCATATTCGAACGCATCCAGGTATATTCGAACGTGTGCAAGTAATCCCGAACGCATTTCGGAACCCTGAACTCTATTCTGACACAGTGAGGCACATTCCGAGACACTGGAATACATACTTGTGTCATTATGTTCACCTTCGTGTCTGGACTCTCTTTCTCATGTACTAAAATTAGCAATATAATATATAAATATTCCAAAGAAACGTTTTCTTTCATTGTCCATTGGAGCAAATTGTCGAAGACCTCGTCTTGTTCTGGTGAAACATGAAGCAGATCATCAGAAAATGTACAAACACACCAAAGAGCTGTGACTCGACCCCTGTAGCCACAAATAAGTACAAATAGGTGAGTTTACACACACACACACATACATGCACACACACACACACACACACACACACACACACACACACACACACACACACACACACACACACACACACACACACACATCTAGTAGTGGTCGGTGAAGAGGCGGGGCCAGGAGCTGAGTTTCGACTCCTGCAACCACAATTAGGGGAGTACAATTAGGTGAGTACACACACACACACACACGTATCATTTATTACATATCCTACATGGGATAACGTAAATATTAGTGCAGAATTCACTCTGCTGCATGTTACTCTTTATAACAGATTATTAATTGACCCTTTAACTGTCATGACGTTAATCTACGCATCTCCGTTAGCGCTCTGGTGCGCTGCTCCGTTAGCGTTGATGGTGCACTGCACTATCAGCACTGCCCCAGTCAACCTTGGCATATATTTTGTATTTGTTCACACTGTTCCACACACATAAGCATGATTGTCTCTGCCTCTGTCTATCTGTTTGTGTCTCTTTCTCTCTCTGTCTCTCTCTCAGAGAGAGCCACTCATGAAGCTGATCGTCAGCTAAACAAACAGGTATTATACGTGTTGTAGAATCTTCACGTCTGCACAAGTGGAAGGATACAACTGTGGCCGAAATGTGTATTACTTACCACAGTAATGCTTAGGCCTCATATCTACAAGCACAGTATGGCACTTCGTTTGGCTTCAAGGAATTAGCTGTCATTTAAACAATTACGTCTGCTTGGTATTTATTTTCTTGAAGGACAGGCGTCCCTTGAACAGAATCAAGGACTAAGTAATTTCATTTAGGTACAGGTACACTAATTACAGTTATCATACATCGTATAAATTACCTAGGATAACCCCCCAAAAAAGCCAAAGTGCTTTACTGTGTTTGTAGATATGAGGCATAAGCATGACTGTGACGAGTAATACACATTTCGACCACAGGTCTTTCCAACCCAGGGTACGGGCGGGGATTGAACCCGCGTTAAGTCGTTGGCTAACACGAGTTCAATCCCCGCCCGTATCGTGATTTGTTTGTTGTCTTGCCATTACAAAGTATCTTCCCACTTGTGCAGACGTGACGATTCAGCAACATGTGTAATACCTGTCCGTCTAGCTGACGACCAGGTTCATGAGCAGCTCTCTCAGAGCCAGCCAGAGCCAGTCAGCCAGCCAGCTAGAGCTAGCCAGCCAGAGCCAGCTAGCCAGTTAAAATCACCCAAAGTCAGCCAGCCAACCGGACATGCATTATACATGTTGCAGAAATATTTCTCTCTCTACTAACTCATGGTATCGGTTATAGAACATTCTGACAGGATGCCATTACTTGTGGCACCAAAACTGAAAGAATATGGCACAAATGTTGCACATGGATTATTATTGAAGTTTTTTATATTTGTTCGACCACTTGTGGTCACATCCATTTCAAAGCCACTAAACTCAGGGGCAGTATCACTTTCCTCGAGAAAAGAGTGTGTTAATACGGCATGGCACGTTGTTAGCTCTAGTTGGTACTCAGTTGGCACGCTGTTAGCTCTAGCTGGTGCTCAGTTGGCACGCTGTTAGCTCTAGCTGGTGCTCAGTTGGCACGCTGTTAGCTCTAGCTGGTACTCAGTTGGCACGCTGTTAGCTCTAGCTGGTACTCAGTTGGCACGCTGTTAGCTCTAGCTGGTGCTCAGTTGAACTGATGCTCCCACAAGGTGATAAGTGGTCCCGGATTTTTTAATACTGTGTACACTGAATGTTAGGACCCATTCTATACTGTCAAGACCTATCAGGCCTCTAGTGCCAAATTTGAATGCAGGAAAAATAGTGCATTGATCTACGTCTGGAGCACTACCAATAATGTGTAGTTCTACGGTTTGAAAAGTCAAACTATAGGTAAGGGAAAAGATATTAGGAGCTTCAGATAATGCAACAGCGAATATAATTTCGCTTGAGAAAATGCTGACTTAACGCTTGTACCATGAACCACAACACCAACAACCCTCTCATAATAATAATAATAATAATAATAAATAATAATAATAATAATAATAATAATAATAATCTTTATTTCTACAAGTACATGATACAACTTATACAGACCATAGCTGACATCAGTGACACTACTATATAAAAAGCTCCTGGTTATGCAGAGCATTTTGGGCAAATTAGGTTAATTTTCTTCCCCAGGATACGAACCACACAAGTCGACTAACACTCAGGTACCTACTTGCTGCTAGGTGAACAGGGACAGGTTTATCAAAGAATCAGACCTACGTAGCAGACACTGTTTAAAATGTATTCTCTTTACTACTAACAACCCCGTCGCTCAAAACACATTAAATATCTACTAAAGACATTGTAGTCAGGCAGAAGACAGCCATCACCAGGTTCTGCCCTCCAGCCCGCACAACAGAAGACAGCCATCACCAGGTTCTGCCCTCCAGCCCGCACAACAGAAGACAGCCATCACCAGGTTCTGCCCTCCAGCCCGCACAACAGAAGACAGCCATCACCAGGTTCTGCCCTCCAGCCCGCACAACAGAAGACAGCAATCACCAGGTTCTGCCCTCCAGCCCGCACACCTCACCTCCTTCATCTTTTTATTAATACTGCTTTTTCTGTATATGACTGATGAATTCCCTGTTGGGACAAACGTTTCTTTAATGTGTTTTAATTAGCCATTCGGCATGTTGAATATTTATCAGTGTTAATCACTGTTCGTAACAACAGAAGGTGCAGGTACTGCCGCCTTGCATTAATTATCCACATAAGAAACATGATAAACAATATTCACTATATACCATAAATTAAGTTATATATATTTATATATATATATATATTTATATATATATATAAATATATATATATATATATATATATATATATATATAATATATATATATATAAATATATATAATATATATATATGTAAACCATATGTTAACTATGATTTTAAAGAGTAAGTTACACTCACTAATCAATATAAGAAATATATAAAAAAATATAAAATATCATTGTCATACATATAAGATTTGTTGAACTCTGAACACACGAGCCCACTCAGCATCAGTAACATTGTATGCAGACACTGTGTAGTCAAGACTAAGCTCACACAACACAGTGTATAGATAAAGAGTCTTGTGCTTGTGAGGTGCACACCTTGAAACTTGTGTGACCAGATGGTACTGCACTGCCATGATAAAGAATCAATAGTCATAAGGCACTCTAGGAGCTCATTAATATTCCTTTTTAAATTTTGAAGAGTAGACACTAAATGGTGTGCACTCCTAGAATAGTGCACCTATATTTTTCAAGCGTTTATGGAACTTTAGTTTCCTCCTTTGTACATAACCGTAGACAAAGGGTGAAGACCCTCAACACGACACCGAGGGAACAAACACCCAAGTGGTACTTGGTGTTCTCCTGCGACAATAGAGCCAACAATGTCACATGCACTGACTAGGAGCAATATCCAGGAAGCTACTTCAGCTTCCACATCCATCAGGAAACTTATTGGGAAGTGGACCAATACTCACTAACCACTTTCAGTCACCAGAATCTATATAATCCCATGTGGTCTCTGTGAAAAGAAGCACGTATGAGCAACAGGTTGTTTGCCTGACTCTGACTGGGGGAAGGGATGGCTTTCAGGTTTGTGGGTAAGCTGGCTGGCTGGCTGGTTTGTTTGCTTGTCAGGCTGGCTGAGTAGCTAGCAGACTAGTTGTTTACTTGCAGGCTGGCTGACTAGCTGGCAGCCTAATAACTGTTCATATGCAGCACTTGTTATCCAGTGAATAACGAAACACATAACAACTGACATAACTGGATAATGTCAGTGATTTCATCAGGTATCATTGAGATGAATTTAGCTTGTTATATCTCTTGTTTTTCATTTCTTCAGGTATAACATATGACACATTCTTTTGGTTTAGTTTCTTAAACTGGACACCACAAAAAGTTACACAAGACTTGTCTGACACAGCAACACCGGTGTCTTGGTACAGGGAAGTCGTTTACAACTTCTTTGTTAAACTTGACCTACTTCCACTAGTGGTCCACGCTCACCTGTTACCTTAACTCCAGCTACTTCATCTCAAGACTACTCTGGCTGCTTGCCTATGCTTAATAAGGCTTGAGGGACTGACCACCTTCCACCCAGAGTGACTGATTGATCACGACAATATTACTTTTACTGCTGCCAGTGCTGCCTCTACCTGTATCCAACTGAGGAAGCCTGTTGTATAGGGGAAACGGTTTGTCAATAAAGATATTCAAGTGTTGCAAATGTGTCTTATTTATCTTCATGGGAGTTAAATGACCCTGGAACACAAGTTCACCCTGTCAAGGTATACTTCCCAGTCTCGCTTCTATAGTGGCAGGTGCCAGGACTAATTTTACGTACAAGTATTAAAATTATTAAAAAATTAATGAGAGTTAAGGCTTTTAA